AGTCTAAGTAGCTTAAGTTTTTGAAAAAAAAAGAGGTAATTTTATTGAAATTCTTTCATGATATACAAATAGATGTGATATTAAACCTACATTGGAAAATGCTCCAAAACACAATAAGACGACTTCTCCAAAAATTTAAAAAGAAATTGTGATCGCATGTAAGATAAAAACAACTTAGGCTATAATACATGATTTAAATGCCAACTACTTTGTTCTAATCGTTGATGATTTCTTAGACGTGTCATGTAAAGAGTAAGTGGCTATTGTTTTGCGATATGTTGATAATATTGGAGTTGTTCATGTTCAAAATACTAGTGCTTTATTTCAAAAGAAAGCAATTGTTGATATACTTGCTCATCATTCTTTAAGTTTATCTTATGTACGTAGACAATGTTATGCAGTAGAAACAATATGCAAAGTGTTAGCGGAAACGTAAAAGAAAGAACACAAGATTTAACGTGGTTCGGATCAAAATAATCTTACGTCCACCAGAGAACAGTTGCCTTTTTAATATTAACAAAGGAAGGGGAGAGTTCCCAATTACACTTAAGAGAATTACTCTCTTAACTCTCTACTCACTACAATGTGTTGTATTATTTTTGGGATGGTTTCTACAAATGAAGGAGTGCATCTATTTATAGAGGTAAAGACCTCCTCTTGATGTCATTGGTGACATCAAACTACCTCCTCTTGATGTCATGGGTGACATCAAAGGAGGAAGCTTCCTCCTAGCATCCACACCAACTCTTTCCACCAACTCTTCCAATTGGCATGCCATTGTTGACTAAACATAAACCAACACCTTCACAAACTAATATCAATGGTCATAAAATGTCGATCAAACAAGAAAGTAGATTGGTTAATTATATTCATTGTTTTGCGCATCAACTACAACTAACTCTTGTTGCGGTTTCTAAAAAGTGTATTCTAGTGAGAATTTGTATCATTGATTTCGAATACTTTGGATGTGTTGTAAACTTCTCATGAACTTTGAAAATCTTATAAAACAAAACTCCAATAAGCATTAGATACGGGTAAGCTAGAAACTAGTAAAGGCATGAGCAAATAATTTGATCTTATTATAGACAATAATTATCTCACTTCAAGTCATTTCAAAACTTATTTATATGTTGTCTAGTTTTACTATTGATGTACTTGATACTCTTGTTGAAAATGCAAGTACTTTAAATGAAAGAGCTACGACATTGAGATATCTTGGACGTTGTAAAAAAAGTGAGTTTGCTTTCTTGTTGCATTTAATAACAAATATGTCGTGAGTTACATATGAGCTCAATGTATCCCTACTGAGAAAGGCCCAAAATATTGCAAATATCATGATACTTATTAAAGTAGCAAAGAGAAAACCGCAAATATTGAGCAATAATGGATGAGATTCATTTAATGATAAGGTATATACATTTCAAATGAAACAAGGCATTTTGATACCTAATTTTGATGTGCTCTATGTTGACTCTGGAAGATCATGATGTAAAGTCGTTGATAATACTACTTTACATTATTATCCTATGTTTAATAAAATTGTTGATTAAAAACTTCAAAAAACTTAATGATTGTTTAATGACATGACAAGTGATTTTCATGAAGTAGCTTGCTTGAATTTAGTTGATTTATTTTCTAATTTTGAAATTAGAAAGATAGTGAGAATGGTATAATTATACCCTATTAATTTTGATGAATTTAGCATGACTATCCTAGCGAATCAACTTGCTAATTACACATTGATAAAAGGGTATCCAATTTAGAGGGACTTGGTGATCACTCAAGAACACTAGTAGGGAAAAATAAGAATCTCAATTGTTCTCTTGCTTTCCACTTAAGGAAAACCGATTGCTTGTAATAGTTGCCACTACAGCCGCTGAAAAAGCTTTTTCAGCAATAAAATTTATCAAGTCTCTACAGATGTGTACACTCAAAAGCTAAAAGCAAATATAAGCAATCATTGGCATAGTCCAACTTCCACATAAAAAGTAACGCCAAACACAAATCCAGCCAAGGAAATTAATGACCAAACTTCCATATCTATAATTAGGACACCTATTGCATTATCTACCTGATGCTATGGAGGGAGGATAGAGGATACAAATTCACCAAAGTTCTTTTTTATTGGAATTCAGAATTTGAACTTCGATTCGAGTTCGGGATTCTACTATAGTTCAATAGATTTACATGGTTCAAAATCTATTGTTGTACTTATTTACTGAATTTTTTAACACATACAAGGTATTATCCAAAGCTACTAAGTTCGAGAGAACCCATAACTTACACACTAAATCGGCCCCTGTTGAGTGAGAATTTTAGAGCACTCTCAGAACAGAGTTAACCAATACCAAAAAGATCCTCAAAATTTGACAGACACACACACAGCCCAAAAAATCCAATCACCGAGTCAGAAGTCCAACCCTTTTCCGTTATAATAACCATCAAAATAAGCAAATTAAAAAAATAATAATTACTGGACTATTATCTAACTATTGAATCAGCAGAAAGATCTATACTTTTAAGCAGCAACAAACGTTATTAATTAATAAAAAAGGACAAAGAGTAAGAATTGCTTACTGGGTTTTTGAGGTTTGCCATCAACCCATTTGGAGACAGAGTAATGGACCTTCTCACGGGTCAGGGCTTCGTACTTGTAAGGCTCCTTAAGACAGTTCCTAACCAGATTAGCGCACAGGTTTGAATATGTTATGTAAGTCATCCCAGCTGACCTCCAGAATGGTGCTGCTGCGTTCGACGCCATTTTTTCTCCGCCGCTCTCTTCTTCCTCGATCGCTCTTTTGCTGTTTTCCGCTGACAAGATTACTTATACCTTGGTCGAGCTGCGATTACCAGAATACCCTTAAGAAAAATGAAATTCAGTATTTACGTTATAATGCTCTTTGCATTATTCACCCATAACGTAGCTTCATTTTTACAATAGACACCTTATCCTTTTTCTTTTACGATTTGCTCCATAATTTTTTTATTCTTTTTGTAAAATTATTAAACAACCCATTTGTAAAATGACGAAAAAATAGGGATGATAAAATTTCGGTTACATTGGTTACTTCTTGCAAAACGTTTTGTCAAGTAAAATTGCACAAATAATGTCTAAAAAAAAATTGCACGGTCTATATATATTGTAATAATTGAAATTCTTTATTTTTAGTAGTTGCAAAGCAAATTCTTCTTCACGTTAAATTGCTTGACAATGGAAATTTCGTAAAACAGAAATAGGTACCTATATTCTCCGGTCTATTTCGATGTTTCATATGTTGGGTTCGGAAAAGGTCCAAATATGTCCCTGAACTATTGAAAATAAAGCAATTATGGCCTCCGTTTGTATTTGAGTACAAAATTATCCTTGCCGTTAATAAAGTGATTCACTTTTTCTCCTCCCGATTACTTTCAATAGTTCACGGGCATATTTGACCCTTTTCCGTTTTGGGTTTCTTGATCCAATTATTAGGTAAAGAAGCACACCAATTCTATTTGAAAATACCCTAAAGAAAGACTCAACTATTTGTGAATCTGTACAACTCCTTACTCTCATCAAGGTATCGTTTTCTATGTTTTCTGCTTGTCTTTATTGGTATGGTGAGGAAAAAAGAGAATATTCTAGTGGATATTCTTTGTACTTGCACTATTAGGGTTTTATGAATATGTCCCTATAAATAGAAAAAGATATAATGATAGGGGACATAAGATATTCACTTGTAAGAAAACACATTGACTTTATAGAGAGAATTTGGCCATATTGCAAGGATATAAAAATAACATTTTTACTAAGATTCTTGTCTAACTTTTTCACTTGATCCAAGAACAACCTGAATGTTCAAAGACTCATTAATTATACATCATTATAAGAAAGAATATCCACAGATCCCACCCCTTTTTCGGGTAAGGAGATAGGACTAAAATGACGAGTGACTTCCCTGGAAACCTCATGGATGTTATCAACGAGAGTTGTGAAACGCTAGGCGATGATGTGACACCCACTGCCTCCCTAGGCGCGAGAGGTCGCCTTCCTTCCATTGCAACATAACAAAACCAAATGGAAAACGGGACTCCATGTCCACAGGAGAGGGTACGCCACCCGCCATGAAAAAGTTCCTCGAAGCGTGGCTGCCTGATATGTTAGCAAGCATGCTCAATAAACCTGCTCCATGCACAACCATAGAGACCGCAAGAGCCCACACAATGCAACTAGCAAACGAGCAGGACGACCAATCAATACCAGGTATAACTTACAATATTACTAACAATGCAGGTGACGGCGTTCTCGCCGCCATTCTAAAAAGGATGGAAGAAATAGAGAATGAAAACAAAATGCTCAGAGATCAAATGAAAGAACACCAAGAACGAGTCAACAAGATATCACGCGCCCCTAAGCTACTGCCTTCAAAATGTAGCCATATCTCAGGATATATGACGAAACGACTGACCTCGAAGATCGTGTGACTCATTACGTCACCGCTATGAAGGGAAACGACCTCACCAAGGAAAAAATGTCCTCTATTTTGCTGAAGAAATTTGGCGAAACCCTCACGGGAAGAGCATTAACATGGTATTCACAGCTACCAGCCCGTTCCATATAAACCTTCGAAGAAATGGATGATAAATTCGAAATGGCGCATGCCGTGGCCAAGAAAGTCAAAACAAGAGTAAACAACATCTTCGCCATCAAGAAGTACATGGGAGAGGGATTGAGGGACTTTCTCTCCCAATTCAATAGGGTAAGAATAACCCTACCAAATGTGTCCGAAGGAATGGCAGTCACGGCTTTTCAGAACGGGTTGAGTAGAGAGGGTTCAAGAGCAACCAGAAAATTGCTCAGCCAGTTGATGAAGTACCCTCCAACCACTTGGGATGAAATCCACAATGCTTACCATACTGAAGTCCGAGCAGATGATAACGACCTCAACGGACCAACTCGATGGATCGTCTTGGTAAAAATTGAGCCCAGGAAAGAATGAAGAGACAACATAAGGAGGGATCACATGGTCTCACGACCAAATAGGGAACAACATCAGCCATATGTCAGGGCCCACACCCCACCTTCCTTCCGTTATGATGAAGGCCCATCTAGGCCGAGGACGGGGACTCACTGGAATGAGAGAGGTATGCCCCCTTATTGTCTGCTCACAATTTTTGTGTGTCACCTATAAAAATAGTCTATGCCCTGGAGAGACTCATAACGAAGGTGAAGTGGCCGCCAAAGATTAGGTCCGACCCTAGCACTAGAAAAACTGGCGCCCTCTACATATTTTACCAGGAACGAAAACACAAGACAAAAGACTATATCACCCTCAAGCAAGAGGTTGTGAACATATTGCAGCAAGGACACCTCAAAAAGCTGTTGAGCAACAAGGGGAGAAACAACTTCGCTAGAGTTCGTGAACATCAAGGCCCGCCAAAGCCATCGTCGCTGGCTCGTACCATCAACATGATCATCAGCGACAACGACGATGCCTCCATCAACAGTGTTAAATTTATTGCCACTCGCAAGCTCAAAAGATCTATCATGCGTGAACGGTATGCCGGACTCGAAGAAAGTATCATCTTCGATGAGTCAAATATCGACGGTTTGACATTCCCTCACAACGATGCTCTTGTCATTACTTTACAAATTTTAGATACTGATGTCAAACATATCATGGTAGATAATGGTAGTGGAGCATGCATTATCCATCCGCGAGTCCTCACCCAGATGAGACTCAAGGACAAGATAGTGCCACGCTGCATCACACTAACCGGTTTTAATAATGCAGTTGAACGGACATCGAGTGAAATTACACTTCCCATCTTGGCCAGCAGCATAACTCTAGAGACAATGTTCCATATCATAGATAGAGCCACCACATACAATGCCATAGTAGGACGACTATAGATATATCCCATGAGAGCCGCCCTCTCCAACTTATACAATGTAATCCAATTCCCAATGCCTTGGGGGATATTTAACATATGGGGAGAACAGGGCACATCCTGAGAATGTTATAACATCACCTTAGATAGCACGACAACCCAACAGAAGAAAGACAAGGAAAAAGAGGCTTAGCAATAGGGTTGAGGTCGACATAAGAAGAGACTATGGATGTCACCATGGACCCCAAAACGGTTGAAGCCACGGACTCAACTATAGAGGATCTCGACCCCGTTCAATTAGACCCCAGCGATTCGAGCAAAAGGCCTACATCAACTGTAAACTCCAAGAACCATGTAAATTTAGTCAATTCCTAATAACTAATGCAGAGTTGTTTGCCTTCAGCCATGCAGATATGCCGGGCATCCCCCAAGGAGATCGCCACACACAAATTAAACGTAGATCCATTATACCCCTCGGTAAGGCAGGTCAGATGAAAATTCAACCCCGCCATCAACGATGCCGTCCACGAGGAGGTGGAGAAGTTATTAGAAAATGGCTCCATTAGGGTGTCAAAATACCCCAAGTGGATTGCCAACGTAGTGATGGTCAAAAAGAAAAACGGGAAGTAGAAGATGTGTGTAGACGTCACAGACTTAAAAAAAGCATACCCGAAGGATTCGTTCCCATTACCATATATCGACCAACTCATCGACGTGACAGCCGGGCACGAGCTGCTGAGTTTTCTGGATGCATGCTCGGCCTATAACCAGATACTTATGGAAGAAGAGGACTAGGAGAAAACCATGTTCATCACCCACTGAAGGACATATTGTTATAGGGTCATGCCATTCGGGCTGAAGAACGCATGAGCTATGTATCAAAGATTGGTCACAAAGATGTTCAAAGATTAGCTCGGCAAGACCATAGAGGTGTATATCGACGACATGCTGGTCAAATCTGTAAGGGCAGAGGACCATATCGACCTATTATAAGGAATCTTTCGACATATTAAGACGGTACAGGATGAAACTAAACCTAGAGAAGTGGGTGTTTGGCATAGCCTCGGGGAAGTTTTTGGGTTTCTTAGTGTCACAACGGGGGATCTAAGTCAACCCAGACCAAATCAAAGCCATAGAAGGGATACCAGAGCAATTGACTACTAAGAAGCAAGTTCAAAGGTTGACTGGTCGAATCGCCGTCCTATCAAGATTTATCTCGTGGTCTTCCGATAGATGTCATAGGTTTTTTGGTGTACTCAAAAGGATAACAGCTCTGAGGGGACGCCCGAGTGCGTACAAGCTCTGCGAGATCTAAAGGCGTATTTTTCATCACCATCTCTGCTCTCGAAGCTCGAACCCAGAGAATATCTCCTTGTCTACCTCGTTGTCTCCGAAGTGGCAGTAAGTGCAGTCGTGATCTGAGAAGTTAATGTATGCAATCTTCTATTTATTACATTAGCAAAACACTTGTCGACGCCAAAACAAGGTACCCACACCTCAAAAAATTGGCCCTGACACTAGTCTTAGCTTCACGAAAGCTTAGACCCAATTTTCATCGTCACCCTATCTCGGTCGTTACCACCTTTCCTCTGAGAAGCAGTTTACATAAACCTGAATTATCGGGGAGACTGGCCAAATAGGCCATCAAGCTAAGCGAGCACGATATCACATATCAGCCACAAAAAGCAATAAAGTCGCAAGTTCTTGCCAACTTTGTCGCAGACTTCAGCATAAAGATAATGCCGGAGGTCGAGGAGGAAGCTGTCCAAGCTTCTCTCCAAACCTCTGGGTCTTATATACCGATCGCGTATCCAACACTTGTTGACACCCAATTTTGCCCTCATATTTTCTCAAATAGTATATATATTTCAAAACATCAATTTACATCATTGATTAGTTTACAAATGAATGGAACCGTAGAAGCTGCCAACAAGAATATCAAGAAGATATTAAGGAAGATGGTAGATAATCACAAACAATGGCATGAGAAGTTACTGTTCGCCCGACTTGGATATCGTACCACGATTTGCACATCAACCGGGGCAACTCCTTATTTGCTGGTCTATGGTACTAAAGCCGTCATTCCCGCCGAAGTAGAAATTACTTATTTGAGAATCATACAAGAGGCCGAACTCAATGATGTAGAATGGATACAAAGTCGTTATGAACAACTGACTCTCATTGACGGAAAAAGAATGAATGCAATATGTCACGGTCAACTTTATCAGAACAAAATGTCCAGAGCTTTCAACAAAAGGGTCAAGCCTACACAATTCACACCAGGGCAGTTAGTGCTAAAGCAAATCTCCCCACATCAGGATGAAGCCAAAGGGGAGTTTTCTCCCAACTGGCAAGGGCCTTACATAGTTCATCGAGTACTAACAGGAGGAGCACTCATACTTGCAGAAATGGACGGAGAGATTTGGCCAAAACATATCAACTCAAACGTAGTCAAGAGATACTATGTTTAGGATTGTTTACATTTTTTCATTTGATGTAACTGAACTACACTCGACCTGATTCCCGTTTAAGAGAGGATATGTAGGTAGCCATGTGGCTTCGGTCACATCTTAATAAAATCTTCATTTTTTCATGGTCAGAAACTAGGGTAGAATTTTGAGGAGGACCCTCAAAATTCTGAAGCAAGCCCAACCAATTTTGTCATACGCAGAGCAGTCAAAGAATTGCTTTCAAACTGGGACAGAATTTTGAGGAGGACCCTCAAAATTCGAAAGCAAGGAGGTTGCAATGTCTCTAAAATATGTCACAGCCATTGGTTCATCTAACTAGCTCAATATCGCATACTACTATATTTTAAACAACTATATACATATTTATCGAAAAATTTATTTCTATGGCAGCCAGATGTTACCCAGGGTAACTCAAACAGGATCTTAAGACAGGAGCACAGGCAAGGCAGAAGACAAAAACGCGAACCAACCTTCCCCACAGAACTCACAATTTTTCTTTGAATGCAGGTACAATAAGACAATGATACTCGTAGATACATCAAGACGTTGTCTTCAAGACAACAAATCATCTAGCACAAACATCTTCAGCTAAAAATATTTTTCCATCTTCCTCTCATTCTTCGCATGAGGCTAAGCATTGCCTCCCTAATTGCATAAGGCTAAGCACTACCTTTCTTTGCATGACACTAAGTACTGTCTCCTATTTTGCATGAGGATAAGCATTGCCTCCTTAACTACATAAGGCTAAGCACTGCCTTTCTTTGCATGAGACTAAGCATTGTCTCCTCCTCCTACATGAGGCTAAGCATTGCCTCCCCAATTGCATGAGGCTAAGCACTGCCTTTCCTTGCATTGAGACTAAGCATTGTCTCCTCCTCCTACATGAGGCTAAGCATTGCCTCCCCAATTGGATAAGGCTAAGCACTGCCTTTCCTTGCATCGAGACTAAGCACTGTCTCCTTTTCTAGCATGAGGCCAAGAATTGCCTCCCTAATTGCATAAGGCTTGTTGATACCCAATTTTTCTCTATATATTTCTTAAATATGCAAATACCTGCAAAATAGCATATATATACATACATAAGCATATCCAAGGTTTTTATTATTTTTCTATAATTTTAAAAGGTTTAAATTGATTTATTTTCCCTTTTTATCCATAAAATCCCTAATAATTATTTCCAAAATTATTATTTTGATAATTCATCTATTGTATTTCTATATTTATGCCGAAATATGGCTAAATTAATTTTTACAATTTTATTTAGTATTTTTAAAACTAATTTGCACATAATTGCAATATTAGCCCTTTTAAGATGTAATTAAGTTTTATATGCATAAAATTGGATCCTGTATTTTTAAATTGTTAATTATGTATTATAAATCATTTTTGTACTTTAAATTAGTTTTCAGAAACTATTTACTATTTTTATAAATAAAAAGGGGAAAAATGGCTATTTAAAATGTAGCCAAATTGGCTTTCAATTATAGCCCAAATCAAAACCCAATTTCCCAACCCAATTTCAATTAAAAACCAACCCTACCCCAATTTAAATCCTACCCAAACTCGGATCCCCACCTACTCGTCTCATCCTGGCCGTTGATCTCTAAGATCAACGACCCCTATTTCCCCTTACCTTTTTTAACCCAAACGACCCCCTAACCTAAATCATACTTACCAATCCACCGCCCTTGAATCCCCTTTCCTCTCCAATTCTCTCTGAAAACCTAACTCAAACCCTAGCTGTCGCCACCCAAACCAGCCCTAATCCCCTTCGATCCTCACTCAATCCATGGATTCCCATGGCTGTTTGAGATGTATACTCGTCTCCTACGTCTCTTGGCTGCCCATTTTTGTGATTTCGTGGAAAGATCTCGAAGAGATCTAGTCCAGATCTTGCTCAACTTCCACCCTGGTCTCTTATGCTACTTTCCGGCCATCCATGGTCGTTCGAGTAAGATCCATGATTTTTCCGGCTGAAATCGGTAACGATCTAATGTTTTCTCATCTTCCTTGGTTCTCTGAAACCCTAGCTCCTGAGATTTTCCATTTTTCTTTAGATATGTCTTAGATCTAAGTGTATCCATGAGTTTTAACCGATATTTTCTTCATCTTTGCTATTTTTTTCGAAACCCTAACTCACTATTGTTCGATTCTTCTCAGATCTGAGATGATTCAAGTGTTATTAAACGTTTTACTTAAAAAAATCTCCTGTTTTGAGTAACTATTTTGATTTTAGTGGCTCTTTTCTAAACTAGGGTTTAATGAAACTCGTCTTCTCAAAGTTTTCATGATTTTTGAGTGTTAATCATATGTTCTTAGGTATTATTGACTGATTTCTGCTAAGATTGTCTGGACCCTAACTAGTTTGTGTTAAGGCTCTAATTTTCTTATGTTTTGCTTTGACTCTAAGTCTTTCCGAGCTACTTGTTACATTGTTGGTGTTGTGCTTTGACTTTCATGATTTTCCCCTTTAGCCTCATTCAGTATCTCATGACTTTTACCCTAGTTCATCTCTACTAGGGTTTCTAAGTCGATCTCTTGGCAAGTTTAT